AGACATCAGTGACAGCTGCCAGATTTGCAGGCCCAAGGTGTTAGGAGAATATAGTCAACACTTTTCAGTGATTGAAATCACTTCATGGGATATTTTTACCTGGAAGATTTCAAGATTTCTCTATGTCTGTCTGTCTGTCTGTCTCTGTCTGCCTCTGTCTCTCTGACACACACACACACACACACACACACACACACACACACAACCTAGGGAAATGTACAATAAAACCTGATTACAAAAAAATCCTATGATTTCCTTCAATTGAATATTGTTTTAGAGAAACAGACTATCAGTAGTCCTCATTCCACTCTAACTGATATAATGTTCTTGAAGAAAAACAGATGAAGGGAAACACAGGTCCAACTTTTACTGAGAGAAAATACTAACAACAGAAAGGAAGGCTCACACACTTTGCAGGGATCTGTTCTATATCACCTTCCTAAGCACTGGTGTCCATTCCATGTTTGTTGAATTGAATAAAAAGAAAATAATGACACTTAACATTTCAGAAAAAAAGGTGCTGCCAAAATAAAAACATTAAAGAGTTATGAACATGGAAGAATTAATTTATTTTTGTAGAAGAACAGTGAGAACCAAGTAATCCATTTGATTGGTTCTTGAATTTAAAATTCAATTTTCAGAAAAGGAAAGCTAACACATACCCTGCAGAATTAGGGAAACAAAGAAGGATCTTGGGTCATGATTTGTTCTTTCTTTCTAAGAAGAAAGGTAGAAAGATGAGGTAGAAATTCTCATTTCACAGAGTCCAAGGAAGATCATTCATTTTTTACCTGACACCAATTTCTTCTACAAATATCAATATTTAAGAAGCTTTATCCACCTAGTAGAAATGGCATTTTTTCTTAGCCCACAATAAAGACATAAAGAGAGAGGCTAGCCACAAATTGTAAAATTTTTGAGAATTCTGGTTTTTGGAGAGTTCTCCTAATATTTAAAATGGATCCACTCCCTTTCTTCATTGCACATTGATTGTGAAGTTACACAAGCAGTACTTTCCTTCATTAGTTCTACTTTTGGGCATAACACCCTTAAATTGTGGGCCTATTTATAGGGAACAGGGTTTGTAGACACTTCCCCAGACCTTCTATCCTGCAAAGGATACAGGTGACTTTAATGAGAAGGAAATTAAAAAACACCAAACCAACACAGATATTCAAGGTTTCTAAGTTTAAAGAGATCAATTATTTGTATTTTTCCTACTTAATTCAATGATCCCTTGAGAACAGCTACTACCTTGGGCTAAAATGGCAAGTCAGAGCATTTGAATTCTAATCAACTGTCAGAGTTCTCCTGCTTATACACTGAAGTATCTCAGGAATGATAAGCGAGTGTTTGCTTTAAGAAATAATTAGCCAGAATATTCATTTCATAGTGAGTCCATATTTCGGGATACTATAAATTCTAAATTAGGTCTGAAATGAAGATGTGTTCATTCTTGGCAAGATTCCTTTCTAATTTACAAAGATTGAAAAGAGCAATTTTGGTTTTTATTTGATTCCCAATGTAGCAGAGTCATGACAGTTTTCCTCAGCTCTGCGACATACATTTTAGCTGGTTCTAATGAAGACAAATTCCTCTCAATCATGAGTGCCCCATCCATTAAGTGAGACAGATGGCAGCCTTGCTATATTTTGCTAGATCCAGTCTCTTGAAGCTGGCTGCCCCCCTTCTTTAGGAAATAGCAGGGCTTATTTTTCTGAAGGAAAAAAGAAATAAGTCAGTATTTTACTAGGGCAAGATGTCAAGTTATCTTCAAAACAAGTGAGCCAACAACCTCTCAGATTTGGAATTGGTTGAGCATATGCTTTTGTTTCAGGGACACATACGTTCGTATTATATGGCAGGTGGAAGGCTAAGATACTTGGGGACATGCTGGCTTAGAGCTTTTCCTAAAAGAGATGTTTGAGATTTCTCTGCTGTAGACTGTAAGGCACCCCATGTCCCCTGGGAATTCCCTAGCCACCTCCCAGCCCCTTGTAATTCCCCCGCTTAACTTTTGCTGCTTTGAAACATGAGTGGAAGCCGAAATAGACATAAGGTAAACTGCAGAGCATCCCAGCTGCCTGTGGCTCCACAGAGTGTTAGCAGGAGACACTTAAGAAAGGGTAGGTGATTGACACAAGATAGAAGACAGCCTGGGGTGGAGTCGGCCAAGGTTTACAAGACACTGTCAAGGTCATTCTAAGAGAAAAAACAAACACCATTGGTTTTAACTTTCCCCTTCTGCACGCCAGTCAGCCCTAGGGGCTCATGGGCAGTGGATGTCCTGTCTTCAGCTTTACCAGAACCACTTGTGAGGAGAGCACTTGAACCTGGACCTGCACCGTCTCAGGATGCTGCGAGAGGTTCTGGCAAATGAGCACAGATAGTTCATTCTCTCTTCCTCTGACCACACACACACTTCCATGTGGAGAAGCCAAGACTTGGTGAGAAAGTGGATATACTGACTGTGTCTTTGTTGAAAGCCCTACTGCATGATACACAGTGCAGAGTGGATTCCCTAAAACAGAGGCAAAAGCTGCAAAAACTGGAAACACTCTCTTTAAGAAGCAGCACGTGACAAGTGATAGTACCGGGTCAGAATCACCCAGTTCCCGGGGACTGCCCATGGTGACCACACAGTTCTACACTTTTTTCTTCCCTTTTTCTTAAGTAATCAGGGCCTCTAAAGCGTAGCACAGAAGAGGAGAGGAGTGGAGGAGAAAAGTGGGCAAGAGAAGAAGTGGAAGATCTATCTAACTTGTTTTTGATGAATGGCAAATGTTCTGGAACTTCAGAATATCATTATGGAGTCCTGAAATTGCCAATTGGAACAGTTATAACTTAATTATTTAAATGAAGGAAGATTAAAAACCCAAACACACAACACATATCATAATAAGTAGTTGCCTGTGTTGAATTTCCATAGAAGAATCGCTAATGTAAGAATTCCTCCTCAAGCCAATTACCTGCAGTTAGACACAGGTCTCTGCTGTGCATCGTAGAGGAATGTAAAGTTTGCATGGAGATAAAACAGCAACAACAGCGACATGGTACTATTTTGTGAAATGTTAACTAGGTTTTGTTTGTGAGTGGGGGGCATCATAGAATGACAGTTTAAGATGTTTAAAAATTAATTTTATTCCTTTGACTGATTTTCTATGATTTTGATCATCTATTAGCTTTCTCCATATATTAGTCTTGGAATGTTAATATCAAAGTTATTCTTTAATGAATACATGCAATTTGTAGTCTGCGTTATTACTAATCACTTAAACATGGGCGATTTTTTCAGGCTACTTTTTAGAAAACGTAGAGGAGTTTGGTGGTTCTATGGGCTTTGCACTTGGGGGAGTAATAAGAGATCCAGACAGGGCCCAGCTTATTGTTATGACATTACAATAACGACTGCCTCTCAGTTGTGGAGTGCTCCACAGTTTACAGAGTATTTTTACATTTTCACTGAACTCTCACCTCACCCTTGGGAGGTAGGCATTATAGTTTCACTTTATAGATGAGAAAAACTGCAGGGCCGAGATGTCCAACACTGTCCAAGGCCACAGTGGTGGACCTGGGACCCACACCTCACCTTGTGCCTTCCAAGTTCTCCTTCCTTTGGCCATAGCTCTGGCTCCTCTGTATATATTCAGAGCTCTGGGCAAGCCCCCAAAGTCCTCTAGGCTTCAGCTTCCTCAACTGCACAATGATGACTTGGATTTGACCATCTCTCCGGTCCCTGCTAGATCTTCTTCATTTTGAATTTGAGTTTATTCAGTAGAATGAAAAGTGATGGGATTCAGTAGGTGTTAGATGACTGAAGGGACACAATCCAGAGGCTTCCACAAAGCCCACCATGGTTGTTATGAAGTGGTAGGAACCAGGGTGGACTTTGATGTATAAGATCTGATTCTTAAGGAAGTCTCATAAAATATATGGACTCCACAAAGAAGAAGAAAAAAGGAACCTCTACACACAAAACATTTGCATATAATTTTAGGTGGTTTACAGACTGACTTGTAAGAGATGCATGGGCCAAGTTAACAACTGCTGGATTAAATAGTATACACGTACCCCATATTTTGGGGTCTATAGGAGGCCTCATGTTGGTTTTCATACAAAGTGAGCCAAACTTATTTTGACATGGGAACTAGTAATTGAAATATATGATTAGAAAAAACTGTGGTGTGTTTTCAAGACATCTTCCCCATGGAAATTTATGTTTCTGGTACTAATTTCTCAGTAGGGTAGGAAATACTAATCAGGGTGGGGTAGGAGAAAGAAAAGTTGATGCAGCACAAATATAAGTATCTTCTTTAGAAGTACTTAAAGGCAATTCCACACCATTTTAATGCTCCTTTTGAATAACTTCAGAGCAACATTTCTGGTTGTGATTTTTGTGCCACATGCCCTCAAGCTGTAGGTTTAGGTCTGACACCAGTGTCAGGACTTGGATAAAGAGGAGAAAATATGGCCCTCATAGATACCCACATTCCCTCCAAAGGGGAGAGGTGTCTTGCTTTAATTTCACCCTTTCCTACCCCCCTGATATATATTTTTTCAGAACACAGGAAGAGCAAGATATCACGCAAGAATCTGAAAATTTAGATTGCCATAATATTATTCTGGGCTTTGGGAAGTCGAAAACAAAGGAGAGCTCCATGTTTGACTTGTGGTGTTGAAGATCCATACTCAGTGTGAAAGCCAGGTCCACTATTTGTACCCATTTATCAGAGCATCTAACTTCCTGTCTAGTAACTCCAAGTAATGTCTGCTAGTGCAAACTCCATCAGGTCTAGGATAAGTGCAGCCATCAGCAGTCCTGACGTAGCACCTCAATAATACAAACCAATGTTTCTCATGGAATTGTCTGTAGGTTTTCACAGCATTTTTTCCCCATTCTGCATGCCTCATGTTAAATTCTGTTAAAAAATTTAAAACCAATTTTTTTTTACAACTTACAAGTATTCATATAAGAAGAAAAGGACTAAAAAATACCCACCCAAGCACCTACAACTCATCTAGTGCACAATGCTAATAACACACAGGCTGTGACCGAAGAACTCCGTGATCTGTGGGAAAGCAGGGAGGCGCAGTCCATCCTCTGGGAGAAAGTGAGACATGTTGATGCAGAGAGGAGCTGTCAATGACGCTTTGCTTCCTAAGTCAAGTTCAGCACTTGCATTTCAGAGTTGATGCCATTACTTATTTCGACCTGAAATAGAGAATAGGTATGGCTTTAAAGAACTTCAAAACTGAAAGCTAGATTTCCTTCCTAATCATTCAGGCTTTTCAAAAGGCAAAATAGCTTGTGGGCGTGCCTTGCACAGCCTGTGTATAAGGCTGTAGCAACAAGGAAGGGAAAAACCTGAGCTTCTTGCTTCTCAGATTAGAGCAAGACACACAGATATGAACACCAGACTGCAGGACTGATTTCCTGGGCTAGACGTGCCAACCACATAGCAACTGAGGAGTGATGGAAAGGGATGGCCTTTGGTTGCTGTGGGGTAAAGATGACAGGGTGGTATTGTCTCCAATCTACTAGATACAGCCCTAGCCTGGACTTCCTACAGCATCCTGTTGGTTTCTCAAGAATCGTCCTCATCTGACTTTCATACCACTGAACCATTGATCTCATATACACCCCATCCTGTGATAGTTAATTTCATGTGTCAACTTGGCTAGGCCACAGTACCGAGATATTTGGTCAAACACCAGTCTAGATGACTCTGTGAAGGTATTTATTAGATAGGGTTAGCTTCTAAATCAGTAGACTTTGAATAAAGCAGGTTCCTTCCATAATGTGGGTGGGTTTTATTCAAGCCATCGCAGGCCTTAAGGGCAAAGACTGAAGTCTCTTGAGGAAGAAGGACTTCTGCCTCCGAATTCTGCCTTTGGACTCAGGACTGCAACAGCAACTCTTCCCCTGGTCTCCAGTCTGCTGGCTTGCCCTGCAAATTGCAGACTTGCCAGTCTCCACAATCACATGAGAAAATTCCTTAAAATCTCTTTCTGTCTATCTATCCATCCATCTGTCTATCTGCCTTCCTCCCTTCCTTCCCTTCCTGTCTCTCTAGACACAGACCTAGACATTTATATCTAGATCTAGATACACATGCTATCGGTTCTGTTTCTCTGGAGTACACACTGTCATTTCCCATCATTCTGGTCTCCACACATTTGACAAAGATTCTGTGCATACTCCTGATTTCATACTAGGTGAGGGTTTTGGCTTATGCACCTTCACACAATATTAACCTCAACACTGTCTGCCACATAGCTGGCACTTAAATATTTATTGAGTACTTTTGCTCTTGTTTTTTCTCTCAGGAGAAAAGTCTTAGCTGATCTAAATCCTATTCATCTTTGAGGCTCAGTTGAAATTTCTTCTCTGTGAAGACTTCAGCTTCGATCTCAGCTGCTTTGCTTTCTCATCTGCTAATAGCAACTCCTATGTAGCAGCTGCACCCCATGTGGAGCTAATGGCATTCCGTTCACAATTAATTTTGCTCTGATTGGTTCACTCAGGTTTGTAAGTTTTCTCCTTCCCACTACATGATGAGCCTCACACCAGCAGAGAATGTGTTTTACACTTATGTTATACCCCTGCCTAGCAACTGTCTTCCATTAACTCAGTTCAACGACTCTCTCTATGGTGTGGAATGGACTTGTTAGTCATAAATTGAAATAGCTGAGAAAATTTCCAGCTTTCCAGTTTCACTCCCTGTAAATTCTGTACCCTCCTGCACATCTCAGGAGCTGGAGTTCTTCTGTTCTCTCCTGTCTTCTTCCCACCTCTCCTCACTTCTATTTCTCTACATTCCGGCAGACAAAGCCCAATGTTTACCCCTTTTACTTCACTGTAGTTAAACAGGGATTATTATTATTTTTTTACTTTTTGTAAATTTGCTGTTAATCTGCACCTAATTAAAAAATTTTTATTTTTAAATTACAGTTGACATACAATATTATGTTTCAGGTGTATATCCACTGATTGAACATTATATAACTTACTAAGTGATCATCCCGATAAATCTAGTACCACCCAGCACCATACATAGTTATTACAATATTATTAATGGTATTCCCTATGCTGTACTTTACATCTCCATGACTATTCTGTAACAATCAATTTGTATTTCTTAAACCCTTCACCTTTTTCACCTATCCCCCCTTCACCCAGTTCCCCAACACCCCTCCCCTCTGGCAACCACCATTAACAGGGATTTAAACTAAAAGATAAAAAGATGAGATGAGAGTGGTGGAAATTTTGTAATTCTCTACAACCCTCTACTTAGAAGGGAGGTTCAAGGTCCTGAATTTTTCTCACCCATCCACCAGGTGAATCCCTTCTAGAATGGGGATAAGGCCGTAGGAGAAGGTCTTTCTCTTTGTTAGTGATAGTATTAGTGGGGGCTGGGAAACTTCTAGGTATCTGTTATATTTATCTTCAATGTTAGCTCTGCTTATAGCTAATATTTTCTGCTTTTGGGCTTCAGCAGCAAGGATTGGCAAAGCAGGGAAGAAAACTGAGTCAGTTCCTATGATGCAGGTAGGAATCCTGCAGGGTTACCCCAGGCATTGGGAAATAGGTCTGCAAGGAGTTTTCCAAGAAGACAGTGAAGCAACTTTGAGAGGCGGTATTAAAAGGAAAGCTGGCCCAGCTGGCGTGGCTCAATGGTTGAGCATAGACCTAAGAACCAGGGGTCATGGTTCAATTCCAAGCCAGGCCACCTGCCTTGGTTGTGGGCTCAATTCCCAGTGTGGGGCATGCAGGAGGCAGCCCATCAATGATTTTCTCTCATCATTGATGTTTCTAACTCTCTCTCCTTCTTCCTTCTTCTCTGAAATAAATAAAAATATATTAAAAATATGTTCTATCTCTATTAAATAAATTAATTAATAAAAGGAAAGGCAATCCTACCTTAGATTTTAGTAACAGATTGATTTTTAAAAATCAAACAAACACAGAAGTAGAGAGAATGGTATTATGAATCCCTATGTACTCACCATCCAGCTTCTACTAAAATAAAAATTATGCTAATCAAGTTTCATCTATCCACCACAACTGTTTTCTTCTGTGTGGTTTTTTTTGGCTAGGGTATTTAAAAGCAAATCCTAGACATGATGTCACTTAATTCATCAATACATATCTATGATTCTCCAACTTAATGATTCTTAACCAGGGGACATTTGCCAATTGGTTGTCACAATTTGGCTGGGTGTGTGTGTGTGGGATGCTACTGGCATCTAGTGGGTAGAGGCCAATGATGCTGTTAAATATCCCTAAATGCACCGAGCAGCCCACTACAAAGAATTGTCTGGTCCTGAGTTAATAGGGCTGAGGTTGAGGAATACTGGCCAACTGATGAGAATTTCTTTTTCTTTTGTTACCTATTGATTAGCATACCTATCAAAACAGGCAACAATTTCTTAACATCATTTACTCTGCAGTCCATATTGACATTTCTTCAATTATCTAAAAACATCTGGTGTGGCCGCTGCACTGTCGGTGACATCATTCCTTCCCAGCAAGGACAGTGCGCCTCAACTACTAGTACTGACTGCACGAGCCACAGAAACACAGCCATCTCACTGCTACTTGGTCAAATGCGTACACTTTCGGGTGCGTTCCGACATAGTCCCTAAAATGGTATAGTCAGTTCCAATGATAGATCAAAAAGTTACTAATACCAGTGACAAAGGGAAAGCCTCCCAAGCGAGGGAAAGCAATGAGCCCCCTTTGTGCTAAGTAAGGCGGCCTGCGGGGAAGCCCCTTTCCTTTGGGACGCTAAGAGGGCGCCCAGTGCATCACAGTTGTAGTGCTCCGGCTCTGCACTCCTGAGACAGCCCTGGAGCGTTAATGCCTCTGTAAGTGCCTCCCTTTCCAGAGCCCATGGAAGCCCTCTGGCACAGGACTCCAGCTCAGTGATGGGAAGTTGAGCCAGCGTTGGCCGTGAGCAGATTATAGACACCTTACTCTGCATGTGACGGGGGAAAGACAGCACGGATAGATCAATACGGAAGTGGGAAAGCCAGTCGAGACAAACAGAAACGGGATAAGGACGGAGAGCTATCACTTCATTAGTCTTTAGGCGCTTGGTCAAAAAATGGGGTGATGGGGTGGATGCAGGTCATAGACGGCAGGTCCTCCAGCTAAGTTTACTAACACATTGCTGGCGGTTACCGGATTTGAAGGTAGTGTTGGAAGCACAGCATTCTCATCACTCTCCACCTCCTACACACACACACACACACACACACACACACACCTCTGATTTGTCCTTCTGGTTTTAAATCGAGATGCTGTAAATGCAAAATGGCTTGGGCCCAACTTACAGGGACCCTGCTGCTGCAAAACAGCTGTTCTCAGGAAGGAGCCATGGATGGGACCACCTCTGGCTCCATCCAGCAGCCGGTCATCAGAGGTCCATTTCCTCTGGGCCCGGACTATTGGAGGCGGAGGACCGGCAGGGAAGGTCCTGGTGGGCGCTGCCCGCAGAGCTGCCTGGAGTGAGGGCCAGCCTCCTCTGCCTCCTAGTCCTTATTACAGTGGCAGACACTCACTCAGCAGTAGCCACAGAGCATAGAACAATTTTTATGAAGAAAAACTAGCCTCCAGCAAAGGCAATCAGACAAGTGCAGATACCAGAGAAAAGCCAAGTTCTCATTTGGAAATGCTAGAAAAGATAGGCTCACAGTGGGGGGAGGAGCTTTTTCTCATCGAATCTTTCCGCATAGCAGTCGGGGCATCATCCTGGTGGGAATTTCTGACATCACCAGATCGCTTTACCTCTACTGGGGACCTCAGTTCTGAAATCCACAGCTGTCTTTCGTTGATAAACTGCCTTGGTCTAATTATCCCTATGGAAAGAATGACTGCTTTATGAAACTTAGTTTTCCCACTACCTGGTCGCTATCCATTTTGCTGATTTTGACAAACTTTAAAGTAATTTAGTTGCTCATTATGATGCTTCCTGATAGTCCACATCTCTTTCATAGCTGCATGGGTTTGTGCCAAGCTGTTGTTCATCTTGAGAGCTAAATCTGCTTTAGTAGATCCCTCCCCCTCCTCTCCACCACTACTATTGCCTCCACCACTACTAAACGCTAGTTGCTGTGTAGGTCAGTGATGGCGAACCTTTTGAGCTCGGCGTGTCAGCATTTTGAAAAACCCTAACTTAACTCTGGTGCCATGTCACATATAGAAATTTTTTGATATTTGCAACCATAGTAAAGCAAAGTCTTTTTTTTAAAGTGTATATATGTACTACCACTTTCTTTTTTAAATATATTTTATTGATTTTTTACAGAGAGGAAGGGAGAGGGATAGAGAGTCAGAAACATCAATGAGAGAGAAACATCAGCTGCCTCCTGCACACCCCCCACTGGGATGCGCCTGCAATCAAGGCACATGCCCTTGACCGGAATTGAACCCAGGACCCTTCAGTCTGCAGGCCGACGCTCCATCCACTGAGCCAAACCGGTCAGGGCAAAGTCTTATATTTTTGATATTTATTTTATATATTTAAATGCCATTTAACAAAAAAAATCAACCAAAAAAATGAGTTCACGTGTCACCTCTGACACGTGTGTCATAGGTTCGCCATCACTGGTGTAGATGTTCCCTTCAAAGCCACCACTGACCACATTGCTGTGTGCTCTAATGACCAGAGCAGCCCTTGCTTCCCACACCCCTCCCCTAGAAGCTGGCATCAGTGTGTGGTAGCAGCAGTGGAGGAGATCCTGGTGAAGACCCAGGTTGTAGTTATGTCAAGAGTTACAGCCCCTCACTGGTGGCCGTGGCAAGGTGATGGGCCCCAGCACAGGCTACCCCTGACCTGTGTGTCATATCCCAAAGCCAGACCCAGAGGACAATCACAGAAAGCATCTCTATTGCTTTAGGCAGAAAGACAGACACTGTTGAGAGGCAGAGCAATGGAAGTTGAGGCTCTCAAGGTCTCCCTGCCCGGGGCCCTCAAGATCCCTGCTCAGCTTAAACACCTGCTTCCTCATAGGTTCGCTCAGGTTCTGTGAGATCTATGTCAAACGCCAGATTGGACAGTCACAGATTCCAACTTTAAACTCTGCGGAACGGCCAAGCAAATTAGCCTCCATTTTCTTCTGCTTTTCATAAACTCCTCCTCATCTTTCCAAAGTCAGTGCAGCCATCTCAGTGACTTCTCTCCCTACGTAGAAGTAAATAGTCCCCCTTCTGCAAAAGATTGCCTGGGGGACATTGTTTTGTATCTACTTATTCTACGTAGGTCTCTTCTTCTAGATCATTGGCCACTGGCGGTCAAAACTCAAATATTACTCATCTTTATGTCTACAGCACCCAGCACAGGCCCTAACACACACACTTTATAAATAATCAATAAATAGCTATATATGGAACTAAACCAATTTATTTAATCAGTGTGCCTTGATTGCTTGATATCATTACTGTAAAGAGTGTCAAAGCATGAAAGACCAAATTCATATGTGAACGGCCTCACTTCTGTCATCTCATCCCCACACACGTGTCCCTACACAATCTGACTGTGGGTCCTGGAAGGTCCACTTTATGACGACGAGCAGTGACACAATCATACACGAGACTGCAGATTTCCTGTGTAAGTCTGCAGCATTACCTGTGCATGGACTGTCTGTACCTACTCACCTAGAGTTGAAAGTTACCCATCCACACACATGTGCCTCAAGATTCTCCTGGTCCCCTTAACAAAGTGGCTTCCTCATAAAACCTGGCTTTGTACTCCATGGAGATTACAAATTTAAAGTTACAAACCAGCATTCATTCCCCTCTCTAACAATTTAGTACAGAAGATTGGCTTTTTCTTCAATCTGTTGCTGGGTGGTGATATGGCATCACTGAACTGGGTACAACAGAATCCAATATAAAGGTCTTATTAAAGGAAATGAAACAGCTGATTGATGCCAACTGGATACACTGTGGAATATTTGCATACCTGTGGGGAGCACACACACTGACCTTTTAAATGGCTTCATGCGCCGTGATTTTAATTCAGGTTTAGTTTGATCTTTCAGATTCCTGCTCCCTTCATGGTTGAAAGGCATTCCATATTCATCTGATAGAATAATATGCATAATCTGTCAAGGCAGAGACCTGTTCCATTATTCTCTGCAGCCTGTAGCTTATGCTACATTCAGCTACAAAGGTGTGAGGGTTCAGCAGTGAACAGGTGGTTGGGGAAACTCTTTGAGGAGGTAGTGGAGTCGATCAAAGCCTGTTAGGTAATCTTAAGAGGATGTTTCATGTGTTCTTGATTCACAGAGATGGAAGGAACCTTAGGGAGCATAGATGGAAGTCACTTGCCTCTGGGCCATGACAGTTAACATTCTTTGAGCTACATGGATGCACACGTGTCATTCATGAAAGGAGATTCCATTGTCAACATTATTCAACTGCAGTTTTAAGTAACTTTCCTTAATAAAAAGATTTTCTTACATCTGACCAACATTTTTTTGTATTACAGTTTCTCTGCTGAGTTACTTTTTTTCACAGTGGAGATGAAATAAATCATTCAGCACCTTCTTACTGCATAACAAGTATATATAGGACTCTCCTCATCACCACCAGGCATTGTTTCAATTCTGTTCTGCCTTCCAATACACTGGTCATCTTTATTATCGTCACAATCCTGGCCAAGTTCCCCAAATCCACAAATGTCAATTTTTGCAATCCATTATTTACGAGCACTCGGTAGCATGAGTAATGAGGTGGTGACTGCTTAGTCCTGGAATGTTATGTAGGGTGAATATTTTTCCAAATTGGACTTGCTTTAGAAAAGCAACATTTATTTAAACGTCTCTCATGTGACAGGCACAGTGCTGATTTTTGAACTATGTTTCCATTAGATCATTCTGCCAGAAGGAAATTAATGCAACTGGAGAGGTGGAGGAGCCAGTGTGGGCTTTAGTCCCCAAAGAGGCCGGGTGAGGGCTGCAGATTTGGGCAGGAACCACCATGGCAAAAAGGCAGCAAATGAAGCCTTTCATACATGTTCCTTACACCAGTGACTGCTTTACATAATTTCCTCTATTGCCATGGAATTGCAGAGTACTAGGCTGACATACTAGGAAGGTCATCATAATAGCAAGTCCACAACATCAGGCATGGTGATAGTTTGCCATCCAGGAAAGAGCCCAGCTCCACCACCTAGTACTAATGGGACTTTGGAAAGGTTGTCTAATGTCTATGAACCTCATTTTCCTTCTTTGTGAAGTTGGGTATTAAGTGGTGCATTATAGTATTTTCACGAGGATTATGTGAGATAATACATGCAAAGGGCTGAGCCCATGATAGCTATTATTTCATGCAGTTATCTATTTGCTACTTAGGGTTTTGTAGGAATGGAGTCCCTGTACCTGTTTTCTTGCACTTTATCAACCAGGTCACCATGATTTCTTCCTAATACTCAACTGAAATCTGTCCAGTGTGAGGTAGCTTTTGTTGTGGTTGTTGACTTTCTTCCATGTCCTCTAGTGACAGTTAATCAAATATTTTAGTACTAGTCACAATCATAGGGCATTTTCCACCTACTATACATGCCTTATTGCATTTAATCCATCCTCTGTCCTCTCCCTATGAAACCACTATCCCACAGTGGTCCCATGAGACCTGGCTAGAGCCCTACCCCACTGTAACTCTGTTTATCTCTGAGAAATAGTTTGGCCTTTGGTTAATAGTTCCCTCTCCAGAAGGAGACAGTTAAAATGTCCCAGACCAAGACAGCCATGGAATTGGCCTCCCGGAGACTTCAAACCTCTTGAGCATCACCACGATGACAACAGAAGGTGCCATAAAAGATCCAAAAAAGAGGCAAAATCCTGGTTCTGAGAAGACCACCACTGGTTTCCCCTTATCTGCTGAGACCACTCCTCCATTTCTCTCCTTCTCTATCCACATCTCTGAACCCAAGCCCATGAGAAATTGATCTGAGAGCTACTAGGCTCCCACTTCTTCATTCTCTGGTCATTGAGTTGCTAAATAAAGCTCATTTTCGGTTTCATAATTGGTTTTGCAACACCTAATGGACAAAGAACCGGCTTGGGGTCCCAGAAAGGGGGATTTTGGGCAACAAAATCATATTACAGGTGAGAGAACCAAGTCTCAGAGATATCAAAGAAGGCCCCTGAGACCACACAGGTAGAGCCTGGATTCTAACTTAGTCTTTCTCCCCTTTTTCCTCAGTCATGTTGCCCACAAGACATATATTTAGTCTCTTTTTTTGTTAGACTAAATAATCCCCTTTTCTCCACTTTGGCAATCAGCTACTGATTTAAAAAATATGTATATCATTTTAGAAACATAAATCATGTTACCTATTTCAAATCCTTTTTGGAATGAATAATAATGATGATGTTGGGTTACATGTGAAAGGTGTGTTTTAAATATGAGTGGAAAACTAAACCAATGATTAGTAGTAGCAGGTCCAAATTATTTCAGGATTCGTTAGTTTTGACCAAGTTAGAAGGATTAATATTTTCCATCTCATGACACCTTTACTTACAGGTTAACAGGCTTTAACTGAACATGATCCTGGTAGTAGGAGTGTGCATCAAGTCCACCTATGAAATCAACTGAAAATATAACATAGCCCAATATGAATAAATGTCTAAATAAACACACACATCATAGTAGGTGTTTAAAATAGAACACATATAAATAATATTAACAAAAATACCTGTCTATCACAAAACGGAAAAACGTGTGCTTAATATAAAGGACAGCTCAAAATATTATCCATGGTTAAAAAATGGGGACATTTTAAGAAACACAAAGATGTGGGCATGTAGTGACTGAAAAATCACGGATGTTGTTGGTTTTAGTGAAAAATGAAGTCACATTAAATAGCATTATATTTAAAATAATGTGTTTGTCCTTAGGCATAGAGCTATGGCCTTTCCCCTTACATATCAAAAGCTGTATCTTCTCATCTTGTTGCCAGAATCCATTCTATTCTTAAGAATATTTATTGCACTGTTAGAAAGACCTCTGAGAAGTCACATAATCTATGTCCATGCCTTCTTCCTCAAACCATCCTTGACAAATAGGCATCTGCCTTTTGCAAAGAAGGTTTCGTCTCCTCTCTGGTAGCACAGTACTTTCTCACAGTCTGCATAGAATCACTGTTCTTGTGATATTCATTCTTTCTCCCTGTCTTCATCACAGCCTCTGTCTTTCTTCTCCGATCCTAATGTCCATGGCTAATGTTAGTTCATTATTTCTGTGTGTTTTTTTGTAGTTTATCACAAGTATAATTACTTTACAGCAAGCATTGGTTTTATTCTAGCACTCTGATGTGAGCAGGTACCTGGACATTTAGGGACATTGAACTCTCAGTGTGTGTGTGTGTGTGTGTGTGTAGATACACAGTATATGGGGGACATTAAATCATATCCTCAGCTCAAGACAGGCACTTCCGTGCACAGTGATTTAGAGTGAGATGATCCACTTAAGCTCTAGACACACTTGTCAATCCCTGATCTGCTCTATCCTTTGCCTCCACTGGAGAAGCTGAGGTGAGACTGGGTCCATTAAAGCTTCGCCAGAGCACAGTGCAGACAGAGCCTTGGAGTCCCGTGGGGCACATAGCAACCAGGTGGGAAGACCCTTTTCCAGGTAATCCCCCTGGAGGCCAGAGGAGCCTGAAGCTTATTTTTTTCCTACCACTTCAGGTCAGGTCAGTCCCCTGGACACCACCTTCGGAGAGAAGCAGTGAGAGGGGATTCCATCTAAGACATGAAAAGATTTTCCCAGGGAGAATAAGCAGTGCCTGAAGGGACCGTTTACATGGTCAAAGTTTTTTTTTTTTAAATTAGATTAGACACTTAGTCAAACATTCACTTCTTCACCCTGCTGACCAATGAGCGAGAATTTTAAAGGAAGATAACATTGACTAAAAGTTGCACGAGCATATCATTGACAAAGGCACCTTTGAAAGTTAAAGAGGTTATTAAAAATAATCACATTTATAAACATGTACACTTATGAATAAATGATTCAATTAAAATTATATCCAAAATAAAATTATAAAAATAAAGACAGCATATATATTGTATGCACTGAAACAAAATAAAAAGCAAACTTTATATTGATTATTTGAATATTAGAATGTAACATTAACAGAATCATTACTTTAAGTATAAATTCATATACTGCTGTAAATCTACTCCTTAGGCATCTACATCTCTAACTCACCATATCACCGGTATTTTTTGGGGAAGAATATACATATAGTATATGTATATATATTCAATATGGTTTTATTAATTTCATAAATTTATTTACAAGATTACTCAAAATTTCTTTTTATTATTATTGTTAATTTTGAAATTAATGATCTCAATGACTGTATAAATCATAATATCTTTAATTAAGGAATTTTGCCAATGACTGCCTTGCAGGGTATGGTTGTCCTAGATGACCTAATGACCATGGAGTGTGGGACACAAAAGCTGTAGCAAACAGCAGGCTGTTATTGATATTATTGATACATTTATCTTATTCTGATGACACATTCTCACAAACTATTGATTTCCAATATTTCAAAAGCCCTGTTTAGCTGGGGGTAATGATTTGCCAGAATTCCAACATTCTCTTCCCTCTCGTTCCCAGAAGTCTGTCTGTCCTTGAGGAACCTGTATTGAATTTGTGTCTAGTTTGATTTTCTCATATTTGGGAGGAGTAGCTACTTTGGAGGAGGGAAATTGATTAGTGCACCACATTTTGAAGCCTGAGGTTTCACCCTCTATGAGCGCATGAAGGAAAATAAGCGCAGTGGAAGCAGAATTTGTGGGGTTAAGTGTCAAGTAGAATCGAGGCTTGCCCTTTCTCCAGGGCTGGTGTTATTTCATGAGGTAGGTTCCCTTTGGGGCAAATGACCCTCCCAGTGCTCACGTGACCCGCCTGAGTGCACACTCACGACCTGGCCGAGAGCACACATGACACTCTCATCACCATTTGTTTAGCTTTGACTGCAATGCTTTTACCCTCTACTCCTTCCCCGCCCCCCCCCAATAGCACAAACCCTGAGGGGAGATCGCTCTCCCTAAGATTTCTTTCAGGTAATATATCTCCTTTGTGCACTTTTCCTTTAATGTTTCCAGTGCTATTCCTTTAGTGATATCATTATTCTAGTTATTCTGTAAGGATCCCATGGACTGTCTTTAGCATTTTGTCTTCAATGCTTGTGTGGGGGAAACCAGGTTAGTATAGTGTCCCTACAGAGTGCTTTGTTAATAAGCAACTACCACTGTGACTTCTCCCTCTGACTTGCAAGAGTCATATCACATTGATAAAGATGCCTGTAACATATTGGCTCCCACATACACGTCTTAGTTTTTGTTTTCTCACATTTGGAAAGAAAGTAGCTAGTTTGTTTCCTCTTTTTTACTGGAATCATCTTTAATAGGACATTTTCTATTCTCTTTAAAGTTATTCAGCTTTCTTAAACCCATACGCATTGTGCTCTATTTTCCTACAGGGGATATATGCTTAACCCTTCAGTTAGTCTTCATCAGTGATTGGATTGAATGGCTGCTTACTGTGGTCACCTACAGTTTGCCTTTAACGAAGGCCCTTTCACAGTTTTTATAATTTTTCAATTACTGTCTGTTCAGAATCACTGGTGGCTGAAGGCCATTTTGTCACCAGTGCTGGGTTTATTAGAGAGAAAATTTTATTCTAGAGAAAACAAGATTAAAAAAAAATCCTGAACACACCTCTCGTTTCTATTTTTGAAACTCCCTTTTCATTGTCACTTGGCTACATTTCCAGCTTTTGTTCCTCTCCTGGGTTCAGGCCTGTGGAATCAGATTTTCCCATAATCATTGCCGACAGTTTCTTCCCACTTAAACATTTCTAAGAGTGGATAATACTTAATAAAGGAATAATGAATTTCTAAAATCTCTTTGGGGTTAATAAAGCAGAATGGAATGGCTGAGAGGAAAATTTATGCTCAGAAAGGTAAGGGCTAAAAGCAGTTTTATAAATTTGTCTAAACAGTTTATAACTTCTTCCCTATGTAATATATTTTTTCTTGGTTATTTATCTCCCCCCCCAATATATCTTTATTATTCTTACTTAAATCTAGCCAATGTTTTACTTTGCTCTATAAATAAAGTGACAAACATGTTGCCTTTGAAATCTCTCTATAACTCCTTTTTTACTGTCTACTTCTACAGTTTTAGATATTTCCCCTCTGACTATTATTTTCTCTTTTTGTTTTATGGCCTCTATTATTGTTTTAGGTTTTCCCTTTCCTAGTACAATCAACATACAAAAAAAGCCATTTCTTCTGAGATCTCTTTGATAAATCCTTTCCTCCTGTGAATTACTGCCCAAAGAAAATGGAATCTGATCATATTCTTTCCAAGATTAAATCCACTCATTGACTTCACATTATCTAGCAAAGCATCCCAACTGGTGTGACCTGAGTAGGTTCAGAGGTGACACGATATCGATTCTCTCATTCTTTGGAGTGTGTGTGTGTGTGTGTGTGTGTGTGTGTGTGTGTGTGTTCACTGAGCGAGGCTTAGGTTAGCTAGCCCACTGGGCCAGTCAGTTCTTTCTGAAAGAAAAGTAATTCATTTACCACAGAGTGCCTTATAATTGTTAGCGTTCTCTGTGAATGCCAAGATATTAAATAGATTGGGAGTCACTGCTGTAAGACTCCAAGGTCCCTGAAAGAATGATCCTGCCATTCATGTAGTGAAGAGAACATACACAACTACTCATCACTTCCAGTGTAACGCAGGTTCCCCCAGATCTCTGAATGTTCCACGGTTCCCCAAGCTCTTTTTGACATTCCTCCCCTCTCCCAGTATTTAAAATGCACTCTCTTTGTTCTCTTCCTAGCCATGTCATATTCTTCACACGTTCTGAGGAGCCAAGCTTGGTGCCCCGAGACATAGTTAGCCTCTGCTTTTTTTTCTGTGCATCTGATTCACTTTGTACAGACCATTATCTGCACTTCGTTCTTATGTAATTATTTACATGCCTGGCCCACTTACTAGAATGTAAGATCTCTGGGGAAAGGGACCAAGTCTTATTTTTTCTATATCCTTGTGGTCTAACACACAGAAGTCTTTCAATAACTGCTTCTTGCATGAACTAATCAATAAATCAACAAAATATTGGGCTATTTAAGCTTGTTTAAAGCTCAAAGTGAACCACTAATATGCTAGCTCTGGACTAGAAATACTTTTGGATATGGACGGGTCACTGACTTCAGAACAAGAGGAGTTATGAGAGAAATGAAGAATCCCATCAAACGTTTAAATGTCTACAAGCATTGGCAACCTACCTAGAATAGAAAGAATACAGAATTCTGAGGCAATATGATTGAAAGAAGCAAATAGAATGGAATGCTAACAGAGTGTTGAAAGACAGGTTGACAAGTGCCTTTGAGCACATGGGAAGAAGCACATGGGAAGACATAAAATGTTTTAAAGAGTTAGCAAGTGTAAAACCAACCAAAAAGAAACTCTTCATAGGAATAAATCCTTTCTACTCAAATCTAATGTCATCCGAGTCCTGGTGTTGTGGGCCGCTGAATTAGTCACATTTGAAGCACATG